CTTGATAAAGTCAACTTCTTTTTTGGTTGTTTTGTCAACAGCAATAAATGCTGTTTCTTTACAAAGAACATGATATTTCATTGATAATTTTTTTGCTTCTTCTTTTTTGTTTTCACTTTCTAATTTTCTGATTTGATTAAGTGCCATTAATTGATGAACAATAATTCCTTTGGTTATGTTAATGCTTTTTGTATTCTTGTATGTGACTTCTTTTTCTCCACATCTTCCTTTTATTTCACTTTCGATATTTTGTCCTTCTTTAATTTCTTCGTTGCATTGAATATAACATGTTGTCATTCCATAGAAATTACTAATTTCTTTTGGTGTTATCTCTCCTTTAATATTCCATTCAACTGTACATTCATTAATAGATGGAATGAGAATACGCTCAGTGATTTTTGAAACTTCTTTCTTCAATACATTTGGGTTTTTAGAAATGGCTGAAATTCCATTACCAATTCGACCTATATTTCTAATTAATTCTACATCACAACTTCTTCCTAATCCAACTCCATGTAATGAATTCTTTTTTGAAAGAGTTCTAATGTATTCAATTGTACTTGTCTTATTATCGACATATCCATCAGTTAATAAAATTATATGACACTTCTCCGTATTATTATCAATCAATGCTTTCAATGGTGCATGCATATTTGTTCCTCCATAATTTGCTTCAAAATGTGAAACAGTTTCTGATGCAAACTTTAATGTATCTTCATTATATTCTGTCATTTCTTTAAATATAAAGTCATATGTACTTCCAAATGAAATAATCTGAAATTTGGAGTTTAGTGGTAATTGTCTTAAGAATAATTGTAACATATTTCTTAATGCTTTGATTCCTTCTCCATACATACTTCCACTTCTATCACAAATGAAGACAATATTAATATTTCCTTCTTTTTCTTTATTGATGAATGTGGATGAAATGACAACTTCATCTGTATCTTCGTCTTTCATTCCAAGTATTAAATCCCCATTTAATGGAATATTAACTTCCTCTTCTCCACTTAATACCCCTTTAAAACTGAATGTGGAACTTCCTGTAACTTTGATTGAATATGGGATTTGTTGTTTTTCATCTGACTCAATCAAGTTAGGAATCTTCATTACTAACTCGTCATCTTGAATCTCCATATGTGTAAGATATTCAATACTAAATGTTACTTCACTATGTTTATTGATTAGTCCAAGTGTAATACTGAATGTTGTATCATCAACTTGTTCCATTACAGCTGAACTATATCCATTTGTTGTTGCATCACTTTGTTCAATTTTAGCTTGTTCTTTTTCTTTTAGTTCTGAATCAAAATCTCCATTAGCTGTTTTGAATGAATATCCAGTAACAGCTGATTCATCATCCAATGTCATAGTGATACTAACATTACAATCATCATTAGAATCATTCAATATTGAGTGAATGGCTTTAACTTTAGCATTGTTACCAACAGTCTCTACTTCAAAATTAACTTCAGTCAGTTGAACTTGTTTTTCTTGAGAAATAACTCTTCCAAAAAATAACATTGATTTGATGGATATAAGTTCTGGAATTTGTCATTTTATATCAGTTTCAATGAGGTTTTTAATAATGAAAAAATCATTTTGTTTTCTTTTTTTTTCTAACACCCTTTCAGTCTTCTTCAAAAACCAAGAGGCATAAACTCAAGTATTTCAATAGAACAATTGATGATTATTTATGATGAAAGTAATGGAATAGCAACAAGTAATGAAAAAAACAATGAGTGATATTGTTATAGTATAATTCTAATAGAATTATAATAAAGAATTAAACACTAAAAACTTGAAAATCAAAATTATGTCTGCTCATTTCTTCAATGTTAAAGCATCAGAAAATGGCACTAAGTTTCACTTAGAAATTGAAGAAGGATTAATGTATGTTCTTACAACGATTTCTGTTGCTAATGGGGAGTGTGTTGTATCATTTGAAATTGAAGACGATGAGAGTGACGAGGATAAAATGAAAGAAATTCATATTGCACGACTTTCTCAAGCAGTTCCTACGGAATCACTTCATCTTGAATTTGATTTACAATATGTTGACTTTGTAGTACGAGGGACTGGTGAAGTATATTTCAATGGCTACGATATAATTGATCCACGATTCAGAGACTATATGGATGAAGATATTGAAGATGGTGGATTTGAAATGAACACAAAATAAAAAATACCATTATTTCATTGATTGATTGATTTGAAATTCTTCTTTGTTTTATTATAACAATAAATCAATTATGATGAAGGTGTTATTGTCTGAAAGAATTTATTCTTCTTTAACACCATTTTGGTGTTGTTCTTTTTCAGAATTATCAACAATAAGTAAAATTACTCCTGCTATAAGAATAATCATTCCCAAATACCATTGTATAGGAATATATTCTCCTATTAATCCTCCAATAATTCCAGACATAATAAATCCTGTTATTGTGGATGTGATTGTTGCTGTAAGAGATGGTAATTCACTAAGTGCTTTTGCAAAAAAAAATCCTCCAACCCCATTGCATCCAAACATTAATACAACACACAAACACCTTATAACAATACTAATTTGACTCTGTGCAAAGGGAATGTATGAAGAGGTAATTCCTTTACTAAACAATCCTCCAATACTCCCAGAAATACCAGAAAGTAATGGATATTTGAATCTCCAAAGTCTTTCCATTAATTCAATCAAAGTTCTTTATTTTGAAAAATAAAAAGAGAAGAAAATGAAATAAAATAATCCTTTAATTCAAATGTGAATTTAAAGTGGAGAAACATAATTGTATGGGAAGTATCCTTGTTGTCCTTTTAATTCTCCAAGCCACCAATCTCCTTCTTTCTTTAGTACTGTAATAATGTCTCCTTCTTTAAATGATAATTCTCCTTGTTCTTGTGCTTGATATTCATACTCACATCTCACTTGTTCTTTTCTTGATGGTGGTGGGGGTGGGGGTCTTTTTCCACTAGATGTACTTACTGTTGTGGTTGTTGTTGTAGTGCTTGTTGTTGTAGAACTTCCTGAAATTTCAAATTCTGATGGCTCATATGTTCCATCCATAACATCACTTGACTTCTTTGAGAAGACATTTGCATCAATAACCATTGAAGATTCTCCTGGAGTAATAATTGGTGCTGGGTCAAGTGCACAAATTCTGAAATTACTAGAAACTTCTGAAGCTTCTCCCCAATAATTATTTAAATGATTCAAATAATCTGTATAACTAACAATAAGAGTCCCACAAATTGGTGAAACAACCTCCTCAGCAGAAGATGTTAATTTTTCAACATCAGCAATAATTTCATTTCTAAGATAATTGTAAAGGTCTCTAGCAACATTGTATTTGTTCTGTGCTTCTCCAAGTCCACTTTGTTTTCCTGGTGGTTTCTTAGAAATGCTGAGGACTGAGTCATGATATCTATCCATATCAACTCTTCTATTGTGACAAATTTCAAATCTCTTTTCCATTACTTTGAATTGTTCCATATAAGTTTTTAATGGAACAATAATATCACTTTCAATTCTTGTTTCATATGTATTAACTCCTTCATCAATTTTTTGGAATGTTGAAATTATAGAATCAATATCAGACTTTGTTTCTGGACTAGTATTAACAACACAATCACCTAATGATGTTAAAACTTCAACTTGCATCAAATTAGTAGCATGTACTGTTGGTGCTAACTTCTTGATAACATCTAAAATATTCTTAAACTTTTTATAAGACTCACTAAGTTTATTCTTAGCATATTGAACATCACTATCCATAGTTTTTTGACCTGCACCAACATGGGTTTTAATTTGATAAAACTTTCTTCCAAATGCGTCTCCAATTCCGCTCATCCCTTAACTAATAATTTAAGATTTAAACACAGTTGTATTGAGAGCGATTTATAGTAATAAAACTTAATTTTGAAAGAAGGATTTATTTTTCGTATATAATAAATAAAACTATATGAAAATAGATTGTTTATTATAAAATAAATTGAAATTCTTAAAAAATTGTAAAAATTTGAAAAAATATTATATAAAAATAGATTATATTGGTTTTTACTTCTTTATATTTTTTTATTTATTAAATTGTAATTAACTTTATCATTATGAAAATTGAAAAAAAAACATAATGAATTATAATTTATTTATTGGTAAATAATTATAAAAGATGAACTAAAAGTTAATTAATTACAGTTCTGATTAATTTCATGAATATCTGAATTAATCTACTTCCTTATTAAATTATTTTCACGAAATGAAGTACTATTCAGTATTTTTAAAAAAAGAAAGAATAAAAATTTTAATGAGTTAGAGAGTAATAGAATAATAATTATAATAAAAAAATAAAATAATAATATAAAAACGTATAATTAAATTGTTATTAGTTGTTAGATATTTGATATAAATAAACACCACCAAGAGCAACTAATATACAAATAACCCAAAAGACTATTCCTAAGTTAGGTAATATCCTAGATTTATTTTTCATTGAATTAATATAGTCATCAACTTTTTTATGATTTTCTTGTAGTTCAGCTAATTTGTTTACAGCATCTTTTGAACCTAATTCTGCTGCTTTTTCTAAATAATGAATTGCTTCTTCTTCATTACATTCAACTCCTTCTCCATTTAATAACATATTAGCAATAACTAGTTGTGCTTTTACATTATTATTATCTGCAGCAATTTTAAATATTTTAAACGCTAATTCTATTTGACCTCTTTGTATATAACATTCACCTAAGGAGATAAGTGATCCTTTATTTCCTTTTTCTACTGCTTTTTCAAACCAGCGTGTTGCTTCATCTAAATTAGATACTGTTCCAAGTCCATTTAAATAGCATAATGCAACACCATTCATTCCTTTAACATTTCCTTGTTGTGCAGCTTTTAACAACCACCCAAAACCCAATTTTGAAGATTTTTTTACACCATCTGCTGAAAAATAACAAGTTGAAACTAATAATTGTGCTTTAGCATATCCTTTTGTAGCAGCTTTTAACAACCATTTAAATCCTTTTGAAGAGTCTTTTGGAACTCCTTTTCCATGTAAATAACATTCCCCAAGTTTAAATTGTGCAATAGTATTTTCTTGTTCTGCAGACATTGTTAACCATTTAAAAGAGTCTTCATATTGTTTTAAAGTATCAGCAAAATAAATTCCTAATAACAGTTGTGAATTACTATCACCACTTGAAGCTTTTTCATGTAAAAGAATTAATTTTTTATTGTTTTCCTTATTTAGTAAGTACTAAGGGAAATAAAATAAAAACAAAAAGAACAAACCATTCTTTGAAACAAAGAAGAATAAAATAAATCTGCTTTTTTTTTAAGAGAAAAAAATAAAAAAAGAAGAGAATGAACATATTAATTATTCTAACTATTTTTTATTAGAATGAAATTATTTAAGAAACACAATTCTTAATGGAGACTCAATCACACATAAACGACAACTCGCTTTTTGAATTGTTTCTATTAATCGTATACATCTACAAAAAATATCTACATTGATAGTTATCAACTTCTCTTTTTGGGGTTCATCAATGGAAACATACGATATTCCTTTAATTGAACAAAACTCTAAATAAATGTCTCGAGCAGTAAAACAAGGACAATTATTAAAAAGTTCAAATGAAGGAGAACTTAATTTACTTGCAACAATAGTAAAAATCATTATATAATTTACAACAAGGTCATTAACAGATGGATCATCCCAAATATCTCTCATACGAACAGAAACATTTCCATCAATATCTGTTTTATATGGAACATTTGATGAAATACTATCAGTTGTTTGACTATTTTGGTTATCAATACTTGATGTTAGTTCAGTTGTTGAAGGTTCATCATTAAGAAGGGTAGTAGAATTTTCTAATAATGAAGACTTACTTTTTATTTTATTTCCTTTTTCTCTTTTTCTATAAACTCTTTTTACAGGTTTTTGTTTAATAGCTTTTTTTTTTAAGACATTTGGTGAAATAAATTTAAATTGTTTAGAAGGTTTTTTATTAGCTTCCTTTTTAGAAACAAGTAATCCTTGTTTATGTTCTATTTTTTTTTCCAATGCTTCATATTTTAATTTTGCTATTTTAATGTCACTTTCATATTTCATTGAGTCAGTAATAATTCGTTGTATTTCTGTTGTTTTATTATTAATTGCTTTTTGATACGAACCAATAATTTCTTTTGCTTCATCATTTTCTTTTTTTAGTCGTTCATTTTGTTGTGTAAGAATGGTAATTTCTCGTTCTGCAACTTTATGTTGAACATATTCTTCCAAACTAATAGTAGTTTCACCTATATTCATTCCTTCTAATTTAATTTTTTTTTGTTTTGATTTTCTTAGTTTCAGTATTTCATTTCAAATTATCACTAGAACATTTCAATAGCTAAACCCTCAATTTCACCCAAAAAAATTTTTTTAAAATTTTTAAATGTTGAAAGTTTTTATTATCTATTAATAGAAATACTTATTCAATTGAAAATAATTAATTCATTATTACAACATTTTCTTTTTTGGTAATTCTTTTTT